TAGATCAAGTCAACTGTGAAGCATAAAAAAGAACAGAGTGAAGTAAGCCTCAAATTCTGCTGTCCCCCCTCACTCTCCACACACACACACACACACACACACACACACACACACACACACACACACACAAATGTTTCCTTCATTTTACGTGTCATACTGAATTATTATGCAAAATAGACCAATTGAAAGGAAATCTTTTCCTTCTGTCAACCTGTACAACACAGCTCAAAGCTGCAATGCTTTTTTTAGTAGATCAGTAGACACGCATGTGAATCAGAAAGTATGAGGTCATAGGAAATACTTGAAAAAAAAAAGTTTTTCTCTCCTCCCCCCCCTTGTTTTACCTTTTGAAATTCGATCTATCCTTCAGCCTTTACCCTGTCTAGAGAAACGTTTTATGGAAATGAGCGCACAGGTGGCCTTGTGAAGTTACCTCACGTCTATTTTTAGCGGCTTGCTCAAGTCTGTCGATAAACACTGTAGTGTAGCCTAGTAGTTGGGTCAGGCCGGCTAGGATGCGCCAACGAGCGCCGCGCGCCGCTGACTTCTGGCTGACTGACTGGGCTACTGGGTGAGACGGATACAATAATATATTATATTAGACCGTTTATGTCAATGTTATACAGCTGCGTTTACCGATCTCGGGTTTCTGTTCTGTAGGCAGGCTTACAGAGACCACAAACCACTGCGGTGTTGGTTAACATTACATTAATCTGGGACAATATTGTACTGGTGCACGCGCTGCATTCTTGGGGAAAATCCGGTTTTGACCCCAGTGATTACAACTACTATCGAACCCCTACCCCTATACCATTGTCTTTATCGTACTCCTCTTTATCGTACTCCTATACCCCGTCCGTTACCCTGATACTCCTATACCGCAACTCCTACCCCTATATCCCAACCTCTAACCTTAACCGTAACCCACACAAAGTTACTTGAGACATTCCTTCCAGTTCTCTTGAGGCCAAACCCGCAGATTGCCCATTCTTGATGATGATGATGATGATGATGATGATGATGATGATGATGATGATGATGATGATGATGATGATGATGATGCGGTTGCTGATAATGGTAGTGAAAAGGTAGATGCAGCTGTTTCCACATACATGTCTGGATTTATTTATTTGTGGATAGGCCTATCGTGGACAACGCCCCCCCTCCTCTTTCCCATTATTCTGGTTTAACCCTTCGCTTTGAATCAAATCAGTCCAACGTTGTATCTTCATTTCTTTGTCTCTTTCTGTGTCACTGTCTCTGTCTGTCTTTTGACTGCCCGTCTCGGACCTCCCCCTTCTTTCTCTCTCTCTCTCTCTCTCTCTCTCTCTCTCTCTCTCTCTCTC